TCCGTTTTACATCTTTACTTCCATGGAAACGAAACTCCCCACAGCTCCCCTCTCCTCTCCTGTGAATCTGAGCATCTCTGTCCCCTTTTCTTCCCTGCCTGATGCAGTCCAGGCTGTTGCTGTGTGTTTGTTCCAGTCAAGTGCAGGGCTGTCTCCTTGTCCTCCTGCATACGTCAGGGACAGAGAGACACAGGTTTATTTGCCAAACCTGGAATGAGAGAGGAGCAGATCTTATCAATCTTAGGATAGACATTTGATATCCTCAAGCCCAGTAAGCATTTTTTTAATGACATTTTTTAGTGATGCATGGTAATTTTATTATTATGATAGTACCTGCTTCTGAGATGATCAAAATATTTTAGTTACAGCACTTAGTTTCTGTTTCATTGAATCCTTATAACACAGCTTAGGTAGAAAAAGCCAGATAATATTAAATAATAGGATTTCAGAAGTTAAGGTGCTTCCCGGGGACAGTACAGGAACTGTTAGTTCTACTAGCAACGAGTTTGCATTGCTTTTTCCTTTACACGGTGGGGGAAAATCATGTCCTCTTCTCTGGTAGGTGGTGTGGCTGGGCAGAAGACTGGCCTCACACTCAGGTGGTATATTTTCCAGTATTAGATCTGCCTCTGTCTGTGTGACCTTGACACATTTCTTAATTTGTTTTCTCTTAACTCACTGAAAATGCTTGAAATTCTCTCCCTTGGTGGGAATAGTATGTTCAGAATTGGGCGACATTGCATAAGATATATCCTTGGGGAAAAAAGTCACTATATAAATTTAAGATAGTTATAAATTGGCAGTAACATCACAACCACTGGTTGAATTGAGACATACTTGCAAGTCTGTGAAAATCCTTCAACTTCTTGAAAGTGTTAAGTAAATCTGTAGTCTAATGTAAGGTCCAGATCTTTGGGGCGGCACAGGGGGACATAGAAGAAAAAAGGGAGGTCATCCATTCAGCGGTAATCGTAGACATGAGCCATGGTGTGCTGCTTGCTTTTTGCTGGAAAGGAATGTGAAAAAAGAAGTTTCTATGTATTCTTGCCATTTTCATTTTTGTAACTTCTTATGACTCAATAAAAAGAAACTGTAATGTTTTGCCTTAGGGGGAATTTAGAAATCTTATCAGCACTAATTACAGTAATTCCTCCTGCTGTTGCTCAGGTTTATGAAAGCAACTAAGAAGGCAGAGTGCAGAGTTAAGCTTTAATAGCTTGGTTATGGTGATTATGGACCATTTGCAGACACTCTGCACTTTATTTTGGCCCATCTGACTTTTATTATAACAACGGTTCATTGTGGGCAGTGGTATAAATTTGCATCTTGGTTCTGCCACTCAGCTAGCACGTAGTATGGCTGTAGGCAAATTATCTTGTCCTCTCTCTGCTCTGGTATCTTTCTCTATAAAATGGGGGTCATAGTGACAGTGACTCAAATAGAATCTAAGCCCATTGATAATAGGGACTGTGGCCCTGTAACCTCTGTTACAGAAAGCAACCTGTTACCATAATAATGCACTGGGAAGAGTGCGTGGAGGGGGAGGCTGTGAGCGCGTCGAGACTGCCCCATCCTGTAAGGAACTGTAGGTGAAGTGAAGAGCTCCGCTTCTACACACACACCTATTTCTCCAACGTGTATGTGCTGGGCATCTGTGCATTCACTGATCTCATTCCACATCTGCCCACCCTGTCTGCTGCCCAAGTGTCTTTTTTCTTTTTAACTGAAGTCCTGAATTACCCTAATATTTTTTAAAAAATAGTCAGCATTTCTCCTTATATATGTGGCTTTTGATGGAGAAGAGGGGGTCATTTCCAGTCGTCAGATTTACTGAGTTGCTGTTGTGTGTGAAGCAGGCTTTAGGGGCCAAAGACAGCTGCATCCTTAGAGGGCACATAGCCCGTGGGGGAGGCCAACAAAGAAGGGACAAGCTGATGAGGGCCAGGAGAGAGTTCAGGTCCGAGAACCAGGGGTGCGGATGAGGAATAGGGTAAGGAGGGGGTCAGAGGACAGTTCAGATGGGAAATCTAGGATTTAAAAGGTTCCTGGGCAGACAAGGAGGTTCTCTAGGAAGAGAGAGCAGCAAAGAAAGGCACCTCTTGCCAAGTTCATGGGGTTTGTAAACTTAGGTCAGTATGAGGTACTTGAGGATGCGGACTGTCCCCTCAAGTGATAGAGTGGTGAGGGCTGATTGCTTCACCTGTGAGTCAAGCTACCTGTAGGGAACTGGGTTTTCAACGAGAGCCAGAGATAGAAATGAGGCTGCCACCCTCTTTGACTTATTTGCTTAAAAACATCAGTTCCAGGAGTCTCTCCTCAGCGAGGCGCTCTCTGTGTGCCGAATTTTTCTGAAACTGATACACCAAATATTTGAGACTATTGATGACTTGTTATCTCTTATTAAGGATCATTAAAGTTTCTGTGACATGCAAATATTAAAAATAGACAACATTAAGAAATACCGTTGATTTTTGATGAAAGAAAGTTTTAGAAATGTTTAGTCATGTACTTTGATACAAATATATGTTTCCAAGCCATAAATTGGATTAAGTTTTCCATCATTACAAGCTACTTAGTGGCTAAAAGAAAGTTTTAGAAATGTTTAGTCATGTACTTTGATACAAATATATGTTTCCAAGCCATAAATTGGATTAAGTTTTCCATCATTACAAGCTACTTAGTGGCTATAACTGTGGTACATTCATTTGAGGGAGAAGACTTTTAATGAGCTGTTTTCTTTTATGGAATCTTACGTTTAGCCACCGGTGTTTTTCTGTTGTTCGCGATGCTCTTGTCATTAAACTACTCATGAAAATGTAGATAGTCTTCATTTTGGCTAAAAGGATTCTTAATCTTATTTACTGTCAGGAGTCTTTGCTCTGTTTTCCTGCTAGAATGAGTAATGTCTTTGTAATCACATGGTGATAATATTACCACTCATTTCCTGATTTTGAATATTATTGCCCTATCCTTTTATTTTTATTCATTAAACTTGGTAGTTCCAAACAGGCCTAATGTAGGCATTCTGGAGCTGGATAAGTTGCTCACGTTGGTTGAAAAAGAGCAACTGATATGTTCAAACTCAACAACTCTAAGCTGAGAAAACAGCATCATCAAAACAAAGATAATCTGCTCTGGCTGTTCAAGGGATTCTTCCAGTTGATTTGAAGCAGAGCTCACTAGAGGCATCATCTGCCAGTTCTTTTCAATAAAGTAGCAGTCAGTGTGACAGATTTTACAGTTACAGATCCCTTAACTAAAACTTAACAGCAAACTCACTTGAAGCAACTGGAAACAGGAGTAAAGGAGGATGGTAGTCCTAGTAGTAGAATATGAACTTGATTTGTAAATTCCATCACAGAGCACCATAGCAGCAATGAAGTCCTGTGTGAATATCGTGAAGTCAGTGTTCTGTCGTTAAGCTGTGCCTTTTTAAAATCAGAACATATCAGATATCTCCACACTGTTTTTTGTCTTATGGGATGTCACTTTAACTTATGCTGTTACTTTGTGTGTGAGTCATTGAACAGCTCTGTTCAGGGGTGTTAGTTGTGCATGAGCCTGCTACCTGTTTCAAGGCTGTGTCCGAGTGTCATTTGACTTTGAAAAGTGAGTCAGTTCCAGACCTGAATGTGAAAGTGAGTTAACCAGCTTTCGTTCAGCGGCACTTTGATAAAGTTTCAGATATATTTTTTTGATCTCTTTGATCAAAGCTTTGATCTCTTGTGACAGTTTCTATTCACGCAGCTTCTCTTCATTGTACAGAAAGCCAGACCCTGTCCCCCAGGGTGGAAACATGTCTTAGGGTATCACATTGGTGTCTGAAGTGTGTTACTAATTATAACAATCAGCCGCATGTCTTTCACTTCACTCCGAGAAACTCATCTGACTGCAGCTCTGCACCAGTGCCCAGAGATGGGGGGGGTGGCGGGGCTGGCAGGATCCTTGTGCTGTGCGCGGCCACCGTCCCACTCGCAAGTGTAGTCCCCACCTGCCTGCCTATGAGCGGCTGGGATCATCCACACCCTGGGCCTGGGACACAGTCAGGAAGTACTTCTTCGAGAGAATGTGTCTCCAGTTCTCAAATTCAGCCAGCATCCCTTTCGTTTTTCTTAGTTGTGAAAATTGTATAAAAGTATTGTCTTGAAATATTTAAGTTTTCCATAACTGAAAAGCATATAAGGTAACATACACAAATGAAAATATGGTTTTAAAAAAATATATCAAACTTTATGGGCTGAATTGAAAAGGAAAGAAGATATATGATAGTTTGCTTAGTAATATTAAAATGAATAAAAATTAAAATTGGGTATGTTCATTTATATAGGGAAAAGCATATAAGGTAACATACACAAATGAAAATATGGTTTTAAAAAAATATATCAAACTTTATGGGCTGAATTGAAAAGGAAAGAAGATATATGGTAGTTTGCTTAGTAATATTAAAATGAATAAAAATTAAAATTGGGTATGTTCATTTATATAGGAGTAGATTGTTTAATAATAACATCTCCTTTCCACTATTGATAATAAAATGAAATCATGTTTACATTTACTTAAATTTTTGTGAGTGCTAAAAAACTTAATACAATAATTTCTGAGTTTGGACTAAGGCTGTTTGAGATCAAGATGAAGTTTCCAGTGTTCCATAGAAGAATTTTTCCTGAGATAACATCCTTTTAAAGCCATTCATTTGTTAACGTAATTGTTAAAAGTAATTTTTAAATGGCTGTTATGCCTAACTGTGGTAGTAATAAATTATATTATGAACAGCAAATGCTAGATAGATAAAACATGGGTCAACTTTTCCAGTTGTGTACTCAAACATGACAATGACTGGGGACATGCAGATATTGGTGAGCCTTTTCCTTGGAATTTAATGATACGGAGTTTTTTTGTTGTTTTTCTGGTAATGATACAAAAATATACAGCTAGGCTTATTTTTATGACAGATTGCATCTTTGTTGTTTTTGCTTCATATTTATTTGTTTTATTTACAGGTGTTGACTTTAAAATCAAAACTGTAGAGCTAAGAGGAAAGAAAATTAGATTACAGATCTGGTAAGTGGAAGAGCCCGCACCCAGCCGTGTGCCGTACGTGTTTAACAACCCACATGCTTGTCTAATAACATTAACTGGGAGCTGCTGGCCTCGCCTGCTTTTCTTCTCCTTTGCTCATTGGAAAATCATATGAACCGTGCTTCCTTCAGGAGAGGATTTAGGAGAGCCTACTTATTTCATATCCATTTGCACAAGAAGAGTGTTACTTTAATGACAGCTGCTTTGGAAGCTTTATACCTCTATTTTCAAATCATTTGGTGTGATACAGAAACTGTCATCACTAAAATGATTTCTCCTGTACTTGTCTTCATGTCTTTAAAGTTATTTGGTGTGGTGGTACTCAAAGAAAGTCCAATATGTTCATAACCAGATTTGCACGATTTGAAGGCAAGCTGCCAGAGACCATTCCGGGCTGTTCCGGGTGGCAGAGCGTGAATATCGCTGTGGGCAGGCATGGTCCTTGCAGCGGTGCTGCTGAAGTCACAGGACATGAGCTCCCAGTGATGCCTACTGGAGGTGATCCAGAGGCCTTTTCTGAAGACAAGCCCCTTTCTCAAACCACAATCAGGATGAGAGACTATAAACCAGCTGTGTTATAACTATTCAGCACCAGGAGCTTTCTGCTGGCTACTAACAGCCCACAAGTGGCATTAGGAAATGCACGGGTTGCTCGTGACCTGCCTGTGGAAGAGCAGATACAACCTGGTCTGGTGGTGGTTTACAGGTGGCACCTTGAGGTTTTCTGAGAATGCCATTTTGTTTTGATAACACAGGTGCAGTGTACTCAGCTTACTAACCCCTCTTGGCAGGCCACCGTCAGCTCTGAGTGTGTGTCCACCGTGTGTGTGTTTGCTTTCATCTGCGTTACGTGCTGCTCCATCTTGGCGCCATCGGTCCCCTAATGCTTGCGTGTTAGTGCCATGTCTTCATTCTTCACCCATGTCCCTGTCTGGGGCACAGCTGCAGCCGAGACCGGAGGTGTCCGAGGTAATACCTTCATTTGGTCGTCTGTGACTGTATAATCCACTTTAAGGATGTTTTGGTTTGGGGTTTTTTGTTTTGTTTTGTGGTTTTGGTTTTTATATTTTTGTTTTTGGCTTGATTATGAAACATTAACAGTCATGTATAAATACTCGAATAACAAAAATAGATATTTCTTAATATACTGGTCCATGATTAAAAAGGCAGTGAACTTTGTTTTGTATATTGCGGCCCGATTTTTTAACTCTGGAAATAGCAAGAGTATCTTGCACTCAAGTTGCTGTTTCTAATTGTAAGCTCTTTAAGGTCAAGACCATCTTGAACAGGATTTGGGATATGTCTACCTATAGCACCTATAGGTTAGGTACTTTTTGATGAGATTGCCTCATAAAGGATAATACAGCTAATATTAGAACATGTGTGAAGCTTGCTTCAGGGAGTGACAGCCATGCCTGATGACTGTGGCCTGTCTAAAAAAAACATATCTTAATTATTGAACTAATACTTGAGTTTTCATCTTTAACAGCAGCGATTTGGTTTATAAAAGTATATCCAAATGTCCCGGTGCTTCCCTGAACTTTGCCCACTAAGACTGTCTGTGCTGGTGATATTGTACACTTCTGGAATCTAATTATAATGCCTTTGAATGTGATCTAGGAGGGACTCTGCCTTTTGGAATCCCGCTCCGTGAAGCAAAGTGTGACAGTGTGACTCCAGGATATGCACAGGGCACTCAGCAAGCACTTTTCTCTGGGATGCAAAATCTCCAAAAATAACTCCTCCCCTGCTCCTCCCTGGACTCTTTACTTCTTCCCTTTTTCCTCTGCATTTTCACAACTGCACAGCATTGGTGGGGAGTATAACTGAGGGAGGAAAAATGAGATGCACTGGATTTATTGAAAGGTTGATTGCAAGTCTTTTAGATGGAGTATTGCGGTGACTCAGTTAGGAAGTAGGACTTTTCTTTTCCTGAAGGGGTTTTCAATAGTGGATCATATATCCACAATATGCCAGCTCTTTGTTAATCACATAGTACTCAAAATAAGATTTTTATCCTCTGAAAAATTTTATTTAAAAAATGAAAAAAACCTTTTTCTTTGTTATTGCTACCCAGTAGGTAAAAAGAAAGTATTGGAATCGTGGTCTAGCTCTTCTTAAGCAGTGCGTGGCTTACTTTGGAGTTAGGAGCAGTCCTTGTGCTGTGGCTGTTGTGATCTGCTTTGTCACAGGCACACTGTCATTGTGCTCTGTCACCAGCTGAGGGAGAGGTGGAGCCAGTGTAGTTGGAAACAGCTCTTCGAGGAGACTCAGGAGACTGTGCTGTGCTAATAATAGCTGGTCTCTGATGTTCTAGACTGTCAGTCCATGAAAGCATTGCTGGTCTGTTTGTATAGAAAGGTCTTGTTAGAAAGAAATGCATTTTTTCTTGATGATTTCTGGATATAGCCAATCTAAGAAATACTGTTTACTATAGATTCCTAAAAGTTTAAAGTACCAAAAGCTGCAGATGTCTTTGTCACATTTTTATGTCTCATTTTATATTATTACCGCATTTTTCAGTTCCTTGATATCTGTGGTCAGAAAATAGACCATTTTTCTTTTCTCTGTACTTAAGGTATTTGTACATGAATGTACATAAGAACTTTATGTAAATGTGACTAAAATAAAATGTGCTGGATGGTATATAGCTTTATGAATGTATATCCAAATGCTATCCTGGAAATAATCTACTGTGAACTCAGAGTCACTGAGTCGAAATGGACTTGAAGTCATGAAATTTGTCTCCTACCTTTAGGCAAACGTAGAATTAAAATGTTTCATATAAGGGCCCCTTCATTCTGTCCATCGAACCTGTCTTCACTGTTGGAGAACTTTGTTTTAACCAGCCCTCTTAAGTTGGCATCGAGCTCATGTCCTCTCATTGTCTGCTTGGAAGAGATGGGGCATTTTACGTGCTGAAATTCATTCCTGCCCTGCAAATTAGTAACTGCACCATTTAACTGGACATTAGAGCAAATAAGAATCTTTGAATTGTCTAAGTATTGTATTACCAAACTGGGGAAACAGAATTGCAGGAATTTTTCAATAAAAGCGGAGAGAGAAATCAGAATAAGATCACGTGCTAGCTGCAGTACGTGATGATTTAGCTGACATTAATAAACTGCAAATCTCCAGAAATCAGCTCTTTGCGATTACAGTGAAAATTCTAGTTCACAGAGATAAACAGGAGAAATATTAGGATTCTGCGTCTTCATAGACAAAGGCGTCAGTGTGTTGGTGACTTATTCTCATCTAATTTTTTGAAAAGTTAAGGACCTGTATGGGATTTTTATGGTGCTGGCACATAGTAGGTATTTAATAAATACTTGTTGAATGGAAACAACATTTTATTTACCCTGTTCTTTGACCACACATGGTAGCAGATAATTTAGTGTGCAAGGGGAATAAGTCAAGCAAAGAAGCTTTTGAGAGGAAAAGAAAGTAAAAACTTTCTCAGCCCATAAAGCAATATTTGCTTTACATGGAAATGAATTTACTAAGGGACTCTTTTGTTTGCTGTAATAAAGCATCACTAATGTGAACTAATTTGATGGCAAATCTAGTCTGCAGGAAGCCATAAATCATAGCAACATTGCCAGAATGTGTTCTGGGAGACATAGTCCCACAAGGTGAGCCTCAGTGTCCCCCCTTTTAGAAACTCCCTGCTGTGCTGTGTGAGGTGTACGAGTGGCCTTGCAGTGAAGAGCCCTGTCTGGGTGCTTGTGTACACCATTGCCCCAGCTTACTCGGCCATGGCCCACCTGCCTCATGGGGCACCTGGGGACATGCCACGAGTTTGGGTTCTTTGGGAAAAGCTAAATTATAGACCATCTTTAAAGAAATGCTTTTCCTTGTTAGTCTTTCCTGATCGTAAGCTTTCTCTGTTGAGCCCCGCTGTAATTAGAAACAGGTGATGGTTCTCAGGCAGTGTCTTGGCTTATCGCATGGGGAAATGGGTCTCAGCCCACTTCTGTACACTATTAGTGTGCTTACATCATTCTTCGTATTGAAGTGGTCCGTGTCAGCCTGGAGAAAATAAGAACGTTTTTAGATTTCAAATTGGCAGTCGAGGAACTTCACTGTACTTGCAAACCTATTTGTATCTCTCTTTTTTCCTTTGACTAACTATTCTATTTGGGATTAAGAAAATAGGACTAATTCTGTAGTGTATTCCATTAGTGGAGGACTGCCGGTCATCTTATCAACAAAAGCAAGTATTAACCATCTATGTCAGTTAAAGGAGAATTGTAGGCTTAAATAGCTTCAATTATTGTTTCTACATTTTCTCATTGTTGATAACTGCCTACCGTCTACCATTTTACACTTGAGCAAACCGAGCTTGATTCCAAAAGGTTGAGTTATCTAAAGAAGTCAAGTTACAGAGCCAGGAATAGTGTCCAGGTGTGCTGGGACCCCGTCCACTGTGCACTAGGGCTCCGCACCTGCCCTGCCTGCTGGTAGCAGAGCACACCAGAAAACGGTGTCGTCTACCCCAGATAGAGTCTGAGGCGTGCTTTTGAGGAAATTGGGAAATAACAGCACATGTGCCTGTTCTTAAATCAATTTATAGAAGCAAAATACCTGGAAAAACTGACTTGAGCATAATACATTATGACTAAAAATAAAACAGTTGAATGTCAGCCCATTGCCTAAATCCCAGTGTATCTTTGCTATTCCTCTTATTCCCTCCATGTCAGTTTCCCTCGGAGTGTGGTACATTGGTGGCTTAGAACCTTCTAGAACAAAGTTTATGATTTTGTGAGCAAAAAAAGTGGTCAAGTGCACTTATGTAATTTATAGTATTAAATTTCCTTATATTCTTACGATTGGTTCTAGAACGTCACAAATTCTTTACCAACCTAATGTTAGCATGTGTTATTAGCCCTTTAGGTGTAAGTTAAGAAATCACAAATTACATTTATGCTTTATTATTTCTGCACATATTTTCACATTGGGAAGACATTTCATTTGGAAAAAAATAAGATTTTGCTCTGTGCAGGATTTTAGCATCTTTAAATTATTGTGGGATCCACCTCTCTTCCCCATTTCATGATGACTGCCTTTTTGCTGTAAAAATTCTCATTTTCTTATTTCAAAATCTTAGTTTGAGAGTAATTGGGACTTCTTTAGTTTTGTTTGAATTTAACTGAGTCAGAAGAGCTCCCATACCTGATAATAATGACCAAGTTCCTTGGTGACCAGCAGGGATCGGCCTGCTGTGGGGATGCTGTTCTTTGTGGTGTCAGGACCTGGCCAGGGGTGTTCCCAGAATCTGGCCCTGCTTGTCTCCAAAGCCAGTGCTGCTGACTTCAGACTGTGCCAGCTAGGATTGTACTTGTGAATCTTTTTCTTATTTTTCTCATATGAAATGTTAATAGGTAAACTGCACATGTATCCCAGCCCCCTCTCAGCATTAGCCCTGAGGGCTAGTGAATGAGAAATGAATCCTCTGTTGGCTTGGAGGACATTCATTTTTTACAGTCTTAGGAGACCTCACTTACTGAGTGCGTGTGGGTGGGTGGCGGTGCGTGTGCATCTGTGTAAAATTTGTACTCCCTGTGCATCATCATTGCTCTCAGATATGTTAATAATTGTTTTGTAAATCACCTACAGTGTGAACTGTTGGGAGTTGCTTTGTAAAAACCGTATTTTTAAAACTTTGTTCTCCTGTTTTATTTTGGAAAAACATACGATCAATTATTTTGACAATGTGTTAGCATCCCTGTTGCTGATTTTCTGTCTTTTGGGGAAAAATCTGTTCTGGGTGGTTTGTTGTTCTTTTTCATAATCCATCTCTATTCATCCAATTTAGTTGTTAACCATGTTCAGAGACACTTTGTATCTCATATAGTTTTAGTCAACCTGAGTTTTTCCTACTGTCTTTAACTGTAGTCATCAGAGGATGACTCATTCCTTCATAGTAGAAAAACAGAGCAGAATATAGGTTTGCGTTGGAATGTGGAGTTGCTTACTTTGGTTATTGTTTGGGAATTGATTTGTTCTGCTATTTCTTAGGGACACAGCGGGTCAGGAGAGATTCAACAGCATTACCTCAGCTTATTACAGAAGTGCCAAGGGGATCATACTAGTATATGATATCACGAAGAAGGAGACATTTGATGATTTGCCAAAGTGGATGAAGATGATTGATAAGGTAAGTGTTGTATTTTTCTGTCAGATGTGAACCCTCTGCTAGTGGGTATTAATCATTATAAGAGGAAGAAGGAAGAGACATTTATTGAGTGTGCTTTAACAGACTAAACATCATTTAATCCATATTACAGTCAGGGTAGGTATATAATCCTGTGTTGTAGATGAGAGTTAAGTTTATCCAGAATCATCTTACAGATAATAAAACCAGGATTTTTATTCTGACACCCTGGACTGTCTGACCTCAAAGCCCAAACATTCTCATTCTACCGTATCTGGCTGCTTCCGTGGAATTAGATCCAGGACATTCTCGTTTCTGCAGAAACGTAACTTGGAAGCTCATTTTGTGAACACCCACAGATTAACAATGTTGAGGAAATGGCCTTCTCTCTAGTGCCTGTGGGCAGTCCAAGGGCCTCAGTCATCTGCTGGACATGTGCCCTCAGAATTATAGATGTCCTCATTTTGAACAAAACAAGAGTTTCTGCCTTGGCTTGTGATCGAATATATAAAGACAACCTTTATCTATGTGGTTAATGTAAACTGTGGGTTCTCCTATAAGAAATGTATTCCCCAAACACACTTAGAAGGCAGACCAATTGGGGTGTGATGTGATGTATACCGTTGACCACAGCTTGAGAGTTTTCTTCCCCTTTTGCAGTAATTTGATGTTTAGTTCTTTTGTGTAACATGCAGTCCTAATATAAATTAGATTTTATCATCTTTTAATTATTGTGGGAGGTTCATTTGTTAGATAATGTTGGTAAATGTTCGTTTGCCAGTTTTACCAAGCATAACATTATCAATGTTTGCTCTTTTTTTTTTTTTTTCTTTTTCCTTTTTTTGTCTTTTTTCGTGTCCGGCAACGGATCGCAACCCTCAGTGTCGCGCCCGTACCGGACCAGGACCGGCAACGGGATCGCAACCCTCGGCGTTGCTCCCACGCCTCGCTCAGCCAGTGAGCGGGAACCGGTCTGTATGTGGGAGGCGGGAGTGCCTGCCGCGCTTCCCAAGGGGCATACTGTAGCAGTGCGCCACCGGGCCTGCCCAATGTTTGCTCTTTTTTTTTTTTTTCTTTTTCCTTTTTTTGTCTTTTTTCGTGTCCGGCAACGGATCGCAACCCTCAGTGTCGCGCCCGTACCGGACCAGGACCGGCAACGGGATCGCAACCCTCGGCGTTGCTCCCACGCCTCGCTCAGCCAGTGAGCGGGAACCGGTCTGTATGTGGGAGGCGGGAGTGCCTGCCGCGCTTCCCAAGTGGCATACTGTAGCAGTGCGCCACCGGGCCAGCCCAATGTTTGCTCTTTAAAATGTGTTAGGGGTCAGGTTTACAAAGATGAATCGGCCCTGAGGCAGGGACCCTGCCCTCAGCTTGCTCTGCACTTAGCCTCAGTCATACCAGGCCCACATTGGCAAGTCACTGAATGCTGATGTCCCTGCAGGCAGAAGCCGCCAGGTGTGCACCTAAGAAAATTGGGAAGGGGCATTCATTGTAGTCTAAAGTGTTTGGAACTAATGTGATGAGTATAAAACTGAAAGAAGTGGCCTAAAGCCTAAGAGGGGGTAAGTACTTAATTCGTGAATCTGCTGAGGTCTCGAGTTCTAATGCTGTCCTCTTTGTGGTACTTGGTTATTACATTTGACCATTATTTTGGTAAGTGCTGTCATTTTTTTCAGTGCGTACAGGTGGGCAGTGGGACTGGGACTGTCACTCCTCGCTTGGCTGAGTAACTTGGCCAAGGCAACACCATTCGAAAGCCTTTTGTTGCAGTTTGTTTTACCTAAGTTTAGAAATATGCAAAATTAAATCAGTTACTCAAAAGATTTTAACCTTTTTAAAGAAAGAAATTCTATTGTGCCTAAATGTTTTTTAAACTTAGAAATGTAGCTTAACTTTTTTTTCTAATTATAAATTTAATGATACCTTTATTATAGAAACTCAGAAGATCAAGAAAAGCACAAAAGTGCATTAAACAACTGTAGTTTTTTTCATCCTGAAAAACCAAACATCCTGCTTTTTTCACTGAATATTGTCATGAGGGCCTTCCTGTGTCACTAAATGTCCTTCCAAAACATGGCACTTTTTTATGGCTGCATTTTTTACATACTTTAACTTATTTCATTCTTCATCCGTTTAGTTGGACTTTTAGGTTTTTTTCAAAGATGACCATTTTGACTATAGAGCTTTGCCTGTAGTTTGAATCATTTCCTGGGGATAGAATCTTAGGAATTGTTGGGTCAAAGGCCAAGTGCATTATGGTTCTCAATGCCTGTTACCAAGTTGCTTTCTAAAATGCTGTGAGCCCTGTCTCATATACCCCGTACCCAGTCCTGCCTGGGACCCCGTAGCCTCTCAAAGATGGTGGAATGAACAGATGAGTCACTGCGGGGGAGATGCTGTATTGGTTAACATTTCCTCTGTCAGTATGTGACAGGGCCCATCTTTGAAATGCAGCTTCTTTTAAAATTCCACAGTACGCTTCAGAAGATGCAGAACTTCTCTTAGTTGGAAATAAGTTGGACTGTGAAACGGACAGAGAAATCACTAGACAGCAGGGTGAAAAGGTAAGAATACGGGGAGCCCTGGAGGGGCCACACAGTTCCCACACACTGTGCTTAGCAGGTACAGTTTTTCTTTTAACAAATCACTTATTTTTTTAATTATGAAATAATTATTAGTACAGTGATTACTCAGTCACATCCTTCTAATTTTTTGCTTTTTTAACTTCTTGCTCCTTTAAATTAATTTTGAAACGGTGGGAAAAAAAATACGTTTGTATGAAGGTACTCAAAAAGTTCATGGAAAAATAGAATTAAAAGGTAATACAGATCTTTCCATGAACTTTTTGAAGTGCCCTCATATATACTGCATTATTATCTAGCCTGACATTTTATACAGAGAAACACTTTCTTTTAGGTAGTAAAATTGCTTTCATGATTTTCTCTTACTCTAATGTAATTTAATCTTCCTTGGTTTTTGCTAAGGGTTTCATCAGGGAGAAACAATGTCATTTACATTTTAAATGTCAGATATGTTACCCTTTTAGAAACTTAGGCAAGTAATTTGACTACAAGGTTCTGATACCACCCTAGGAGTGTTGTTGTGTTTTGATTTGCTATTTACTTGCAATGTAAGAATTTGCCGCACTAGTGAACTTTATATCTCAGGCTAAATGGGACTTTACAGACCTTTATTCCCACCCCTTCCATTAAAGCCGAAGCCCAGAGCCTGTGGGTCCCCCATCAGAAGCCAGTTCTTACTCTGTGCATTGGTCTGTGTTGCAGTCTACACAGACAGAATAGATATATTATTTTTTCTCAGTTTGCACAGCAGATAACAGGGATGCGGTTCTGTGAAGCAAGTGCCAAGGATAACTTCAACGTGGATGAGATATTTCTGAAACTCGTTGATGACATTCTAAAAAAGGTAAAATCAGAATATACATCATAAGAGTGTTTCATCTGAAACCTGTTGTTTCCTTTATTATTTTTTTGTTGAGAATTGTTTATTTAGAAATGAAAGACAGTGTAGTAGTTATGCTTAGGCTCAAGAACTAGGCTTACTTGTTAACTAGGACCAAGGCATCCAGGTTGCTATAGCAACAGCTGTTTCCCATCCAGGGGGGTTTGGTGTTCTTAGCGTTAACGTACAGCATATTCACTTATCCTTGAAATACAGTTTGGTGGAGTGACTTAAACAAGGTATAATAATGTGCCGTGTTTATTGGACATTTGCTTTTATTTTTTCCCATTTTCCCATAAGAATTAAGTTCAATACAGATGGTGGAGACCTAGCAAAGATGCAGAAGTCTCAGCTGAGAAGAGAACCTTTGGAACTTGCTTCTCTTCGGGCTCTTCCCCCTAGTGGGAACCTCTGACCTACACAAAGCCCTTTCCATGATGCTCAGTTGCAAGAAAATTGTTGGACAGCTTCACTGTGCAGCAGTAGTTTCTTCAGGCATCTTTAGGCTTACATTCAGAGATTTTTAGTAACGACTTTATTTATATTATTAGTAAGTGCAGTTTGCTCAGTTCAAACATAATTCGGAAGCGTCTAATAAAATGGTTGCTTATGTATTTGCCAAAAGAGGTTATTTCTTTCTTTAATAAGGATATAACTCCTTAGCATGAAGATCATTTTTTTACTTATTAATATATTAAGTTTTCATTATACTAAGTTATATGAAAATAAATGTTTATAAGGTTGATCTGATCTCTTCTGCCATAGAGTATTAAATAGGCTGGGCAGTGTTCATGTTGTGACATGAAGTGCCCTGAACCTTGGTTTTGTTTTTTTGGCTTAGTATTTTGATGTCTAATTAAACTTTGATGATCAGAAAACTTCATTAAACAATACTTTGTCTTTTATATAATTGTATGATTGGAAAGCATGTGTGTGCACCTTGTAAGATTAAAATGTAGTTGTCTTTAATGTTTATCCTTCAGATGCCTCTGGATATTTTAAGGAATGAGTTGTCCAATAGTATCCTCTCATTACAACCAGAGCCCGAGATACCACCGGAACTGCCTCCACCACGACCACATGTCCGGTGCTGTTGATTTGCTACTTTGGAGACAACGTGGAAACAATTCCTGGGATGGGGAAAGTTCTATCCTGCACTACAATCATTTTGACAATTTCCTTTCGCACTTTGTAATCCAAGTCAGAGCTATACACTAACTTGTAAATATGCAAATATGCAATCCTGGGTAAGTTTTGGTTTTAAATTACATATTTCCCTCCAAATTATTATATTTCATTCATTACCCCAGTGTCTAGTGTACATACACTGGGAAACATAGTACTTCTAATATGAAGAATGGGAGAAATGGAAGGTATAATGTTTCTTGAAATAAATAATTGTCCTTGTTAATTATATTATAAGGACGGAAGATATTCTGAAAAGAAGAGAGAATGTGGTGCTTTGCTTACTGTTTTAAAGAAAGTTTGTAAAACTAGAGACTTTTTGGAAAAAAGCTATCTTAAGTGCTTTTTCTTTATTCGCAAGATATTACCCCCAGCTGTAGCACCTTTGAAGTACTGGAGTATTCCTGCCACAAAGCACAGTTTCATTCATAGCCATCATTGAAAGTTATTTATTAGTGTTATGTGATGGTAGAATGTTACTAGTTGGAGGGATGGATTTGACTTGGTCCTAAAGCCCAGAATCTCTCTCATGGTTCCTAATGGATGAACCCTATGCTTTTAAGAACTACAAAGATTCAATAAAGAGGTGTTTTTGAAACTATAGAAAAAGGTTTTAAAGAAACGCTGCTGTCCTAAACAAATCCTATTTAAAGGAATTTTAAAGAGATACATTTTACTATATCAAAGAACATACATGTATTTGCCTAAACATTCTGTACCTTTGTAATGATAAAACTTCTCCCCTTTATGGTGAAGCTTATTCCTATTAAGCCTAGACTGTGTTCATTTTTTTGGGTGGGGGGGTCTGATAATGAATTTGTGAACTCTATCTTTGGTATATCTTTTATTAAACTGCACTGTTTCGTTTAGTCGAGGTAAATAAGTAATTATGTATTTGAATAACTTGGTGTTTCTTGAGTGTTGTGGTATGAAGCATTGTGGTCTTTCTACACTAATGAAGTGCAAATAAAATTTTGTATTTATGAATGACAGTTTCAGTTGCCGCATTTCTTTATGCAAGTATAAATTGTATGCATGGCAGTATTCTTCATACACTCCGCATTTTAATCTTTTGATTGTTTTAGATAGGAAAAATATAGTATCCTTCACTGTGGAAAACCGTTCGGTGGCTTCTCGAAGGGTTAACATAGAACTACCATGTGGCCCAGCAGTTCAGCTTCTAGGTATATATTCAACAGAATGAAAGCAGAGGCTCAGACAGGCGCCTGTACACCAGTGTTCATGCCAGCGTTGTCCACAAGGGCCGGAAGGTGGAAACCCACATGTCTACCGACAGAATAACGGATAAAGAAACTGCAGCTTGTACCAACAACTGAGTATTATTCAGCCTTTAAAAATGAAGGAAATCTTGTCACCTGCTTCATCATGGATGAACCTTGAAGACGTTATGTTAAGTGAGCCAGCCACTAATTGACAAATACTGTATGGTTTCACTTATATGTGGTGTATGGAGTAGTCACATTCCCAGAGACAGAAGGTAGGGTGGTTGTCAGCAGGGCTGGGGCCAGGGAGGATTTGGGAGTTGTTGAATGGGCACAGAGTTTCAGCCGGGGACGGTGGAAAGTTTCTGGGGATGGATGGCGGTGATGGTGTAACACGACAGTGTGAATGTACCTTAATGCCACTGAAGTGTGCACTGAAAAACAGTACTTTGGAATGTAGATCCTTAAAGATGAGTTTAAGAATGTGTCTGTAAATAACCAAAAGATTAAGACGTAGAATTTGTGAATAATACTGTCATATACAATATGTATACGTCTTGTGTATGTCATATATACAATATGCATATATATGTAGTTTCCTGAAGAAAAGATTTTTTTCATGTATGTACCTTTGTCATCAACAACTGATCACTGATTGTTATCTCACCTCCAAGCCTACCCTTCTGTGTTCTGCTGTGTGATGCCCAGGCTAGGGCTCTAAGCTATATTTGCCAAACCCTCTTGCTCTTCCTGTTAAAGTCTGCTGGGGGTCAAAACTCAAGAAACTTGGGAGGAGGGAAGAAACTTGCTTGCCGTTTTTCTGTCCCTGTTGAGCTCCTTGCAGTAACAACAGACCATCATTTATCAGCCCTGGCTTCTGGCTTCCTGGGGATCCCCCGCTCCAGCCTCACCGCACCTGTCAAAGGTATCAGTAGCCTTTGGGCTCGTTGGTGTCCTGCCTGCTGGGTCACCCAGCCCCTGCACTCCATGTACCCCCCAGGTCCGGCCCCCTCTCAGGCTGAGCACCCCTCCTCAGAAGCTCAGGTCGGTCTTGCAGGAGTCCTTCCTCTGAGCTCCCAAGTTGTGGCAATACCCCCATTCTGTGTGCTCCCTGGCCCCAGGGGAGCAGCTGCTTCCTTCAGCTGTTACCTGTGAAGTTCCCTTAGCACTCCCTTCTGGTTGCTTTGGCATTGTAACAACTGTGTAGCTAGTTCCCCGTATTAAATCCCTCTGTTTAAAAATACCTCTTTCGTGTCTGTCTTCCTGACTGAGAAGAGCACTTCGTACCAGGAGTGATCTCAGGATACAGAACCTCAAAGATGAATTTAAGAAAAAAATTGTTGGTTGTCACAGACGTTTGTGGCTAATGCATCAGTCTGTGGTGTATTTTATATTTACCGCTCAGAATCTTAGTTACTGCATTTGTGTCTGTCAGCGGGAATATTAACAAAAGTACCTACATTCTTGTTTAGTAGGGTGGGTTAGGGCCAAAAGTAGGACTTGGCAAGAAGTCTTAGTGTGACTTAAAGGTCTTGAATTTCATTAAATTTTTTTCTTTAGTTTTCCATACACTTTTGGACAGTTGTGAGAACAGAATGAGAACTGAGTTTTCTGTGCTTGTGTAGGGGCTTGTTACTCAGCATCCACTTGCCAGTGGCTGTCGTGACTAGTTAGTGGCCCATCTTGCCCTCGTGATGGTCCAGCAGGCCATCGTGTGATAAGCCGAATCTCAGTCGGAATCTCAGTCGGAATCTTAGTCTCTCTTGATTTTTATTATTTTTTCTTCCTCAAATTCCTTTTTTACCATTTCTTGGTTTTTAAAGGGAACTGTCCTTTTAACAAAGAGTCGTAAGTAACATTTTACATATTTATAGCTCATCATCCTAGATTAGTGTCTCATTTGATTCCCAGAGAAACTCTGAAATAAGGAGGGCTGGACATAAAATGAATTTTCAGTCGTCCAAGTAGGTGGAGAGGAACAAACACAGGAAAGTACAAATAAAAATCATCTAAGACCACTAGATCTGTAAATGTCGTGATGGCCACAAGGCTCTAGTTCTCGTCTGTGAGTGAGACGTCAGCCGTGGTTGGAGCTGAGCTGCTGCGTGCAGGATGACGGTGACTTCTCTGTGAAGCAGAGGGAAGCAGCAGGCTTGTTCTCTGTGCGCTAACCTGCATCCCTTCCTCTTCTCCACCTCATCTTCTCCAGTCTTTGATGTGCTGCTGCAAGTTGAGAGGTGGTTTTATTTAACTAATGGCTTAAAGTTTTTGAAATGTGAGGCTTGGAATATTAGTTGATGACACACCAAAACAAGTTGTTTCTATCTGCAAAACCAGCTACCTAAAACCAGGTTGTTTTTTCATGAGTGACTTAACATACCAGAGAGAGAGAAAATACTTGTCTTATAGATTATTTGTTGCCTAGAATTTGTAACTAGGCCCACAGACTGCAGTTAGAGAGGTCAGGACATCATATTAGGCCTGTTACTTAACGTTGTAATGCTGTAGTCAACAGAGTTGAAATTTTTTGCGCGGTTGCTATACACAAGGCACTGACCTTGGGTGCTGTAGGGGATTCAGACAGAGAAATATGGTGGTCCCCAGAAGTTCATCAAGTGTGAGAGACAGATCCAGAGCTGGTGTCCAAGGCAGAGCTCCCATTATTCATGGAAGAAAACAGTCCTGGGAAGCACAGAGAAGGGAGAGTCAAGGCCTGCGGGGAGGTGGGGCATATTTTTCCTTGGCCTCCAAGGGTGAGTAGACTACTGACTGGTGGCAAGACAGACATGAGGGACAGTGTATTGAAAACCCGTCTGGTCATTTGGAACCTTTGGAAAAAAGAATTACATAGTGAACCATGTGCTGCTGGCTATGCGATTGGTTATAGCTTCTTAAACACATGGCTGCCTCTTGTAAACGTTGGATTAATCTTGTTCTTGTGATAGAGATAAGGTAGTTACTGGAAACGTAGTTGCACTGTCTGTGCACACACAAAACCTAAAGCGTGTCTCATTCCAGAAAATTTGTAAGTGTTCCTAAGAAGGGTTCTGAAATTCTGCCTTAGTATCTCTAGCAAAGGCGAGCTGAGTTTGGTCCATTTGTGGGCCCGTCAACTCTGTTCCATAGGCTTCAATCATAACCCTGTTTAGACAAGCAGAAGAAAGTAAACCAGCCCAAATTCATTGCTCTTGGCAAAAACAACTCAATGTGTGGGTCCAGGGAGGTGGAAATTTCCTCACACCATCATCTAGCAAAGACAGCCAGAGCTCCCAAAGCCGTGAGAACCTGATCGCTCCTACTGACTGACTGCAGGGACAGGCTGTTCAAATCCTGATGGGCAAGACAAACAAAAAGTCCTTAAATCTTACTAGATTTCTTTCTTTAAAAAATTGCAAACCTTCCTGGTGTTAGTCCAAATACAATTCAACAATTGCTTGTGATTAAACTGCATTTCACTGTATCAAAGAATATGCTTTTTTAAAAAACATTTTTTTTTTTGGTGGCTAGCTGGTAAGAAGGACCCGAACCCTTGACCTTGGTGTTGTCAGCACCGCACTCTAACCAAGTAAGCTAACCAGCCAGCCCCTGAATATACTTTTTTAAGACAGAAGTAAGGGCTGCCCCCCTAGGCAGGCCCTTTCCAGTTCTGAAGCTCTCCTGGGACGAGACTGGTTTCAAAGTCTATCTCAGACCCTTGCAGTCCTAAGGCACTATCAGCTGTTCCTTCAGGGTCAGCCAGGTAAACCTACATTTACTCAGGGACACCTCAGCCCCGTAAGGATCTCAACCCCAACTTGCCAGAATGCCCTTTGACTCAGGAAGTGGTGAAATCAGAGTAAGGTCTGTAGTTTATAGTCTTGTACGAATGTCAAGTTCCTGGTTTCGCTCATTGTGCTGCAGTTGTATGAGATGTTATCATTAGGAGAAACGGGGGAAAGGGAACAAGACAACTCCGCACTATTTTTGCTATTTCCTGCCAGTCTAAAGTTATTTTTAAATGTTTTTAAAGTTACAACAGTAATAACAATAGCTAATTATTGCATATTTGCTGTGTGCCAGGCATTGTCACAGGAAGTTACAGATACTCATTTAATCCTCACAACCACCCTAAGAGGTAGCTGGTATCTAATTACTGTCCCCATTTCTCAGATGAGGCACACAGAAGTTAAATAATCTGCCAAAAGATTACAAGATTGTAAGTGGCCCAGATTCAAACCTATGCGATCAGGGGCTTTACACCCCACCCCTGACCACTGTGCTACAGTATAGCTCATGAAATAGCCTTGTCGTAAGAGCCAGCTAGGAGCCGAAGTTTATTTTGGGGTCCCTAGGCCCAGAAAGCTTTCCGGTGCTCTGTGCTGCAGAGACTTGAAGCATGTTAATGCTCATCCACTGGGTTTAGCACAAACAGTTTGTTGGTGACTTTGGCAGAAGAATTTTGTAGGGAGTTGTGCTGGGTGTCAGACTGCAGTGAACTGACAGAGGATTCGAGTGTGAGAGCAGAGGTGGTGACTGTGGGAGGCTCCTTCCAGAGGACCGGCTGCGGAGGAGAGGTGAGAGCTGCGGCGAGGGACGGGAGAGCTTTCCCAGCATGCGGAAACCTGGGCTAACTTAGGTCAAGGGGAAAGGGTTAGCAGAGGGGAGAACTGGAAGATACAGGAGAGGGGAGATACCGGGTGGACCAGGCCCCAGAGGTGGCAAAGGGGATTTCCATTCAGTGCTCACTTAAGATGCTGGAATGTTCTGTGGTAGGAGACAGGTCATCTGAG